ATTGACAAAGTTTCATCCCCTATTTTATCTCTTTGGGGGTAGAATTGATCAAAATCCTTTCTTAGCGGATGCCTACGTCATAACATCTACCTGCATGCCAAATTTCAGCCCGATCCGTCCAGTGGTTTGGGCTGTGCGTTGATAGATCACTATGTCAGTCGGCCACCTTTGAGCTATATATATTTAAATATTGACATCATAAAAAACTATGATCTTACAATGATAACGTAATAGGCAACACGATAATTTTCAGATATAATGAGTTAATGAATTGCTAATGAATTGCTGGAACACATTGTCCAGGCGTTGAACGTAAATAAACTTTTAAAAAAATATAGAATCGACTTCAAACTTTACAGTGTTAAATATTACTTATCTCAAGAGCGACTTATTCAAGAAAATAGCATTAATATCCTATCAATTAATTAATAACCTGCAGAAAACCTCCACCCGATTTTAAGAACATTTTCTTAAATATGTCACTCTTTCATTTAAGACATTTTTTTAAAGATTTAAGGTTTGAAGTAGGTTCTTTTTTATTTTTTTTTCATGCTTTTAAGTGATATTGCAGTTTTTTATTTAATAAGTAACGCTGAAAATATTAAATATCTATATAAATAAGAATATATAACATAGGGAAAGTATAAGAAAAGGAGATTTAATTTATTTGCTCGACATGATTGTTTCCAGTAATTCTATACTCATAATATAAAGTGGAAAGAATTGATTGTTTGTTTGTTTACATTGGATAGGCTGAAGAAGCTATTGGACCGATTTATAACTTTTTTATCTACTAGAAGCTACATAATACGCGGCGGACATAGGCTATAACTTACGCAGGCAAAGTCGAGGGGAAACAGCTAGTTAGAAGGAATCAATGGACATACATACTTTCATAAAGCATATACAAACTTTTTGAACATAGAAAATTATCCAATAATTTAGGTAAAAAGCGTATATTGTTTTATTATAGAAGGAAATCTACTGATCCGATTTCGATAAAATTTGAATGGGATCACCGCGTTTCATTAAGCTGTCGAATAATTGTGATAATCGATCAACAATTGGTAGAAATATTGCCGTCGAACGTATAACCTCCTCCTTTTGGATCTTGAAGTCGGCTCAAAATAGTTTTACCTCCGATTTTCGTAATACTGCACGGATTCGTCTCAAAATTTTGGAATTAAATTACCCTCCATTTCAAACCTAACTCAATCAGAAGTTACGCTTTTTGTTATTAAGGGGTAACTACCCCTTAATTTAACAAATTGAAATTAATACATTTTAAACCAGTAAAAAGGCTGTAATTATGTTCAGATAATATTAAATGTTTATTATTTATATGACTGACCTAGTATCTCGTTATTTTAGTATTAAAATTATACAACTTAATGTGTTTACGAAGTACATACATTAATTTCTTATATATGTATTGAGAAGCAACAGTCATTATGTCTATTTCTATAAATTATTTTATTAAAGAGTCCCTAATCCTAAGATTATAAATTGATCTAATAGCTCCCTTCGAAAGCACTAAAATCTTTTGTATATCAGCAATATTTCCACATCAAAATTCTGAGTAGCTGAAGTATACTAGTCTGGCAGTATCTAAATTAATTAACCAGCGAATCCTTATATCGGCATATCGCACACCTAGATCTAAACTAAGACAACTCAAAACGCTAATTTGGAGGTTTGACAATACATTTGTTTACATGGCAGGAGCGCGACCACTGTTGATTCAACAAAAGAAAGCTAAAGTTATCTAGCGGTTCATCCCCGAACCTTTATTGAATCTGTTATGTTGGATAGATGCGTATGATCACCAAGTATTTGAATATTGTACTAAGTCAAAACTCACTCAAATTTTTGAGTTGTCTCAGTTTAGATCTAGGTGTGCGATATGCTACAGAGCTATGTGTTTACAATCTAGTGTAATCCCTGAAAATACTGTAGTATCCACAAGGCTCTTTCTTTTTTTATATTCACATTAATATCTATTTCTTTAACATTAATAACATTATAAAGAGGATAGATTTTCTTGTTTGTTTTACATGAAATAAGCTTCAAACTACAGGACCGATTTTTAAAATTCTTTCACTTATTAGTAGCTTAATTATACACCAGTGACATAGGCTATAATATACGCTGGTGAAGTTGTGGGTAAACTAGTATTTGATTCGCGGGAAAACAGCTAGTATTTCATAAATTTTATTCTATCTGTTCACTCTTACAACTTAAGATTTAAAATCTAAGTATGTAAATATTTGGTATCGATGCCATATATTTGAAGACAATCTGTTTACCGAGTCTCAAATTATGCTGATGTTAAGGTTATTAATCGTATCTCAATGTCGTCTCCATTGCTTGCATTTTGAACTGAATTCCAATATATAAAACAAAGTCTTGTTAACAAACCAATGCCAATAGATACAAAACAAAAACTGTATCAAAATGTTTTAATTACGCTAACTTTACCAGTTCTAATGTCAGCACATGAGAATTAAAAAAAAAAAACACCTTGGGATTTCGTTTGACACAAGAAAACCTGATTGGTATTCAAATAAAGTCGTCCTTGCCATTAGCAATGAAAATATTGTTTGAGCCTTAACTAAGCTTTGTTGAGCAAATAAGAAAATATAGACCTGACTCTTGTATAACAGGAAAACTTTTTTTGTAAGCAGGTACTGAGTCGTGTAGCGCGTGTCGAGAACGACAAACAAGCGTTAATGCCATCTCGCTTACTATAATACGTAGAGAGAAATCCTCCTTGTCACAACTCACCTCTGTCACAACTCACCTTACATATCGGTAAACATAACAATTCGTATATAGAACATCAGGCTACCGATGGTTTTTATTATAAACTAGCCCGCCATTCTTCCGCGTGGAAATTAGCCTAAGGTACTCCTTAATATATAAGCAATCTGCCAGTCAAAGTTCTGTCAAAATCGGTCCAGCCGTTTCAGAGATTAGCCGGGACGTGGCATCATACGCGGGTAACATCAGCTATATTTATGCGGGTAGAGTCGTATGGAAACAGCTAAAACCACATTATCTCATATTAGAAAAAAAAATGTTCTACAAATATAGATATATCAAGAAGAAAACACACGATAATAAAAGCGGCAACAATATTACTTCGTAGTTATTTAATGTTATCCGGGTACATAATTCATCACTTCAGCCGAGAGACGCCCGCTGCTGGGCATAGGCCTCCCCCAAAGATCTCCAAAGCGATCGGTCCTGCGCCTCCCGCATCCATCGGCGGTACATAATTGCCGAAGCCGAAATAAGAAAAAAGTCGCGTTAAAATATAATATTTCCTTTCCAGTAACAAGAAACAAATTAAGTTACTAAAGCACTCGTATTTATAGTAATTTGAAACAAAGAAGGTCCACAACACGCATAACCTTATATTGGAAAAGGTTCAGAAGCATTTTTTTGTTGCTGTTATAGACAGATATAAGGTTATTATGACTTAATGTACAGAACTAAGTTCTTGCTGAGGATGTTGGTGATGAATTCGCTTGAGGTTAGAAGTGCTTGAATAGAGTTGTCAACTGCCATAGCAATTTTGGGAGAAGAAATGTGTAGAACAAAAGGAGGTTCTCAGATTGACCTTTATGTATGTATGTTAGTATATTTGTTTGTCCGTAATTATCTCGCGTTTGGCTGAACCGATTTTGATGCGGTTTTCAGAAAAGTATTTGTTACACTCAGGAGAAGGTTTAAGTATCTTAACTGAATTAAAAAATAAGGTTGAAACGATTTTTATGCAATTATCAGCATAGTATTTGTCACACTTAGGAAAAGATTTTTGGTATATTAACAGACTAAAAAACTGGTGGATCACATTTTAACGCGAGTTTGACGCTGTTTTCAGAAAATTGTTTTTGATGTTTGTTTTGATTATAGAAAAATATTAATATCACTAACAAGCATGAAATAAAAACTTTATTTTTTTTTTAAATATATATGTAAAAAAGTATCATTCATATAATTAGTTAAAATCTTAAAATAAATTTAATTATAAATATTTTTGTTTGCCAACTTCTTCTGGTTCTATGAATGCATAAGGTTTAATCCTCTTAATTCCGATATGATTAAGTGGGACATCACGCGTTGTTTGCGTTGACGTGACAAGGAGTATAAAATATATGATTTTCATAATTAATTAAAGTGTGATTATCGGTAACAGTTTATTGAATACTATCAGAAAAAATATAATACGTAGGTACTTATTTTCGTTCACTGTCTACACCCGTATTTAACTTATTGTCTTTGCGTGCGAATAACACTCGCTTTTGTTATTTATTAAAAATAAAAAGAAATCTGAAAACAATGGTGAATACGACCCCAAATTTTAAGGTTGGTTTTTTTCGTAATTTTGGACGAATTAATTAGACATCATCAAAGTATTGGCCGTAAACGACATTCCCAAATAAAATCGTAGGGCATAACATGAGCATATCATAAACGTAACTCTCTAGAACTAATTGACGAACTTGATATAACCTGTAGTCATTTTATGGGGCGTAAAAGACACACGTGCCTGACTTTGTGAGCCGTATTCACCTGCAAAATTTCAAATTATAGATACTATTTCCTAAAAAGTTTAGTTTTATTATTGTGTACCATAAAAATTATTTACTTTTGATGTAAGAATCATATTTATAGAATCAATAACAACAAAGTTGTGACAAATACAAAATTTAAATTTTTGGTTCTCCTGAAAAGTCGTGTTTTGGTGATTACGCTATTTTAGCCGCAAAGCACTGATATTTTTCTCCATTTCCAAGATTTCTTGTTTTTGCTGTTACTTATATTGATAGTGGTATTATGCAGGTAAAGAAAGTATATTGTGTAAATAAGACTTGACAACAAGCGACCTCTATAAAGATATTTGTTGATTTATGACTTTATCATGCAGATATATACAATAGCAGCAGCTTTTATGTTAGTAAGCATTATTAAAAGATTTCGTTTGATGGCGCTCGTAATATCGGTCGCAATTTATTTTTGCTTCACTGAGTAACAAAGTAATTTATGTAAATAGTACTAATTAACCCAAGACGAGAAGTAACATTATATATTTATTAAGAAAGAAAGAAAATAAAATTTATTGACCTACCTACGAACAAAAAAAAAAACCATTACGTAACAGAAAAAGAAGGAAAATAATTATCCATTCATTGAAAATATATATTTATAAAACCGAAAAAAAATCCTACAAAATATATAGATGCTAGGAAAAAATTTTGAGCATTTTGCTCCATCGTTAAAAGTATATCAAAAATTGTATAGGTAGATAAAAATTAATATACGAGTTATTATCTTATTTTTTACATTCAAACCAATAAAGCAGCGAAAATCTTAATATCATACGAACAACATAGATTTTCCCGATTTTCTCTCATCGCTCCTATATTATGCTAGTTCGCTAGGTTATTAGGTCACAATAATATTGCAATCCATAATAATCGAGAGATAAATGTGTTTTTCTATGTAAACTCTTGCAGTTTTCACTTGATCTTATAAATCTACATTGTCACGTCGTATCCCTTGCGGGGTAGACAATAATATCGAATATATGTAACCAAAATTGGCACGATAAAAATAATTTGCAGAACTATTTAAAGTAATGTGTTACTTGATTTGTTTATGTAATTAAAATTCATAATAAGATAGTTTATGTATCGGGCACAGGAGCAAACAGTCCATTAATGATAACAAATTAACTTTAAATGACGTATCCGGTCGCAGATAAACTGTGACCCCTGTTCCCAGATGTAGTGGCATTGTGAGCGAGCAATCATAAGAACGACATGTTTCTCAAAATAATTATCGTCATCTTTTGCATCTGTAAATTCGGATTTGGCCAAGGTAAGTACATATTTTAAATGTTACTTTAGTAAGGTTTCATATTTATGATGGATTTTGTAAAATTAGTACCTATGATTAGGGGGTGTAAAAAGTTTTATGTGGTTGGTCGTGTTTAATTTACTCGAATGTGAATGGTTGTGTATTTATGATGTATATCAAATTGTTATAAATTCTTATTTATAATAAGGTGAGTTTTTCAACAGTGATGATCGCTTTAATAAATTTATAAATACTTTATAACCTATAAATCAGAACTAAATACTAATTACGTGTAATTTAATTATTGCAAATATAAAGTGCATCGTATGCATGAATCTACTATAGTGTTTCTTATAATGTTAATTAGTTATACACAAGTATATAATCAATGTTTATATTTTCATAAGGTTATAAGGGCATATTTTCGATTTCCATAATAATTAAAAAATATGCTATGGAATCGTGTTTTGTATTCGAAAATATGTATGATTTTAGAATATTTTACATAATGAAATAAATTAAATCTATACGAATAAAAAGGTAAAACAAACTTTGTTCATATAAACTGGTCGGTATAAAGTTGGTCGGGTCAGCTAGTTAGCAAATACAATTTTAGCTAGGTTACGTTAGGGAGCTAAAAATTTTCTGACTTAGATGTTTTAATCTATTCATCGTGCGTGACAAAAATAAAAAAAAAAATTGCTATTGAGTTGTCCGAAAGAGTTGTGATATTTTTTTTTGTGAAAATATAACACTTCTAATATTTCGATATCATACCACTCAGGTGATATTTGACGTCTTGATTTAAATTAAAGGTTTTTCCGACTAAAAAAATTGCATAATAATTTTCGATTTGTCTTTGGACTTTACATCGTTTTCATAGATACTCGTATCACAAAATTTTCGCCTCGATTGAACTGCATTTAAGCCGTTAATGAAAACAGAATAAGCATTATTAATAGCTTTCCATTTTCTATCATCGATTCGATCTAACAAAAACTATTGCAAATAATCAATCTTTAACAATCAATTGTTACTATATAAATATTCTAATATTAAAAGACGACGATATGTTATTCGAAAGTAGACTTTGTAAATATAATATATTTTGTTGCTATGATTTATATTACACCCGATGTAAGATCTCAATTAAAATTTTCAGATGTCCAAGAAAATTTTGATAATAGCGATGAGAGTCTCATCAACGGGGAAAAGAAACTTAGCGACAATATTCTCGAGATCCTGGAGCACTTCAAACAGCCGAACCCAATCGGCATCCCCGGAGCCAGCATACCTGAACCATACCCCGTACCTGACATGAAACAGACACTCACGTTCGGAACAACACTGTACTTTAAAAACACAGCCGTCTATGGCATTAACAAGTTCCGGATACTGTACGTCAATGCTGAAATTGGTGCTCTCGAGGTAATCAATCAGCTACATAATTTTTTTATAATATAACAAAGCTATCTTCAAAGCTAAATACCATTCTGTTAATTATTGTAGAACCTAATTATTGCGATTAGTATTTATTTTGATTTGTTTTAAAATCCATTATTTTAACCAGGTTCAAGCTGTCATGGCCATTGAAAAAATACAGGCACGTGGAAACTACACCATGTCTACTTGGTTAAATAGAGCTCAAGGACCTTTCACGGTTGACGTCACCGGACTCCTAGTAAAAGCCCGAGCCAACTTAGGCGTTGAAAGAGATGGCAAAATTAGGGCGCAAAATATAAAAGTTGACCTATCATTTAACACTATTGCAGTTAACTTTGAAAATCTTGGATTTTTCGGAAGTATGTTCCAAGGTGTGATTAATTCCGTCGGCACATTCGTTTTTGACACTATTAAGCCTTATATTCTCAAAGAAGCTTACGTTAAAGCTCGAACAGTCATAAATACGAAACTAGATGAAGTGGCAGGCGATATGCAATTTCCAAACTCCATATCACCATTAGATATGGTAATAGCGGATACGAGAAAAATGATACGAGAAATGAAGTTTGATCCTTATAAAGTCGACGACTACAATAAGACAATGGGCATATTTTTAATAAAACTGTCGCATACTTGGGTGACTGGTTTATCATCATTCCAAAGAGTGGGCAATATAACTCTCAAACTGGAAAATAACACGATGATCGCTGACTTCAGCATCGGTACACAGAAACTGGAGGGTATGACGCAGTGGGAAATCACTGCTGTAAATGGACTTATGTCGAGAGCTGGTACTGCTTCCTTCTCAGTAGAATATGTGAGTGGGAGGTTGATTCTCGCTCAACCTCTTGACACTCGAAAAAAACCTGAATTTAGAGATTTAGATCTCGAAGTGGGCAACATACAGGTACGCTGTGATGGCGCTGGAACATTGGACTACGTCATCGAATTACTTGTTAACATCTTACCGAATCTTTTAAGATACCAAATAATGGACGCGTTGGAAAATCCCATTAAAGAAAAGATACAACAAGAATTAGATAAAATTAATGTAGAAGAACGAATCAAACAGGAGTTACCCAGGTTGGATGAGATGCAAGAACGTGGTTTCAAACTATCTAGCTTGAAGGTATCTGAAGCACAAGAGGCACCTTATGACGAGGATGAGTTCTTTAACTTTTGATTATCCGAGGAGCACAGTATTATATTAATATTGTGCTAGGCAATAGAGTAGGAATGCACCGGTACGTAAACGAAGTTGTCTCAAGACCAATTTTTCGTTTGAATTCGAAATTACGTAAAACAATACTTATTTGTGAGTTGTATGATTCTAACTCTTCAGAAATGTATAGAACCATTTCGAAAACAATTGTATAATATATGACAAAAACTAGGCTTCACCAAAATTTCGCCATAGCAAACGATCTTATGCGTTATTTTATTATACAGATATGTTATTTGTAAAGTGAACAAAGTTTGCTGTATAAATTTACAATTAATAGATATTATTTTTTAATATTATATATAACTTTATTCTATAAAAAGATAAGAAGAATACCAAGGTTTTTTTTTAGTAAAATAGTAAAGGTGTGTACTTCTAATGCTAATGCTATTTCTTTTACATCTATTTTCTGAAAGCTGAATAGAGGAAGCTCTCTTGTTTTATATGACACTAGGTGTTATCCCGCGACTTTGGACGCCTAAATATAGCCAAAGTTGACCCCGTATGATGTAGCTATCCGTAGGTGATTTTTTTTAAACTTAGTCCAGTAGTTCAAAGTTTATTCGATGCAAACAAATAAACAATAAAATCTTCTCTCTATATCATATTTGTATCTAGAATGTTTTACGGAACAAGTTTAATAGCAACTTCAGCCATTGAACTTGGTCCGTAAAACAGTAAGCGGTAATCATAAAATATATGAAAAATGTTAAACTTATGTCATAGTATCAATTTTGGAAATAATTATCTTAGTATGTTTTGATTCAAAATATTTATTTAACAATTAGGATTCCTGTTAATGTATTATGCAGACGACAAGGGTCGTTTATGTCATTGTTTAGTTTAAATATATTATTTTGAAATGATTTGTACACATTTTTAATGCATTTTTATTTATATATGTTAGCGTTGATATTCTTGAATCGCTCTTATCTTGAAGAGTAAGCAAGCTCAATGAAATTCTGAATTCATTTTGAATAAGTCATTGCCACAAGTTCACAATTATTTAGTTCTTAATCAGTGATGGTTTTGATAAACATGTCGTTCATATGATTGCTTGTTCATAATTATTTCTTTTTTATACTATTATTTGTTCCGTTGATGTATGTTACTAAATATACTCTTTATGTCACTACAATAAATAATGTTTATTTATTTATTTAAGGTTAACCAACGTTTGTGTTCAATATTACATACATTCTAGTTACAATAAATTTTATGTTAAATGACTAACTGTCACAATCACTTATAGGTAAACACAACATGCACTAGAACATAGAATAAGTAAGAAACTACACTTTTACACTAGACTATGAGAAAAGAAGTTACATTATTATTTATACCAATTAATTATTTGAAAAAGAAAAACAAGATCAGACTATTATATGTATGTAAAAAAAAATTAACTCCACAGTTCTAAAAAAGTCCTACGGATCTTTGAAAGTGAGTCGTGATAAATATCTATTGGGTTACTATATTTATTTACCAATTTACATATCCTACGTATTGGTGAATTAGAACCGAGAACAGTTCTACGCAGTGGAACGTTTATGTTTCAGGTTCTTGAAATAACTTCATTCTTATTTCAACTCTTTCTTCTTCCATTGATTTAATATTGTGTCAGTTGGCGATAATCAATTAACTATTACACAAGAAATTAGACAACATTGCTCCGATCCCAAATTGTTATGGAAATCTGAAACAATAAAAGTAACACGACACCCAGACCCTAGAAAATGTAGAAAAGTTCATGACTATGTTGATTCAACCGGAAACCGAACCCTCAGATAAGGAGACACCTTGAAACCAACGCGTGGACCGTATTACTAACTTTTTTTTTTTTTTTACAAATAATTATAGAAACTAAATCATATTTATAATGGAATTGGTTTGTCATAATATAATAGGAATTAAAAATAAAATTTTCTTGATAGTAAAAAATCACAAAGTTACCCCATAAATAAAAAAAAAATCGATTTCTTCTTTTAATTAAAATGAATCTTTAATCAAAATGACCAAACATGATTATTGATCACACAATAATAATTCCAAACGGCTATCGAGTAAGTAAGTAGAAAATGAGAAATTTCAGCGCCATCTAGTCAGATTGCATTGGAAAAGTTTGTAGGCCCGTATAGCCACACGCAAGCTTTAAATTTAACTAGTGTGGATTCATCGACGGTAATGATGTGTTTGTTTGACAATATCATAGATGGCGTTCGTTACTTGGTCAGTGTTAATTCATTAATTAGAAGATCGCCTACAATGAATCAAATACCTATTGCTAGCCTTCAATTACTACCAAAACATATCTTGTGTGATTGCAATACTATATAATAGCAAGCGCCTGGGGGCCAATTCTACTAAATAAATTTTGTTTAAATCGAAACGAAAACGGAACGAAACCGAACCAAACTACAACTTTTAGTGGTTTTCCTATTCTACTCGGTGCCAAAATGGCGTCAAACGATACAGTTCCAGTTCTATTTTAGTTTAGCTAACTATCGATCAACAGAAACTGTAAACGGTATTCTACTCGCTCAATCGAACTTAGATGTAGTTATGCAAACCGGAACCAACCCACAAATCAAATCTGTCAAAATCGAGTGATGTGCAGAGAAGCCTAAAAGTATTGCAATTAAACTCACATGTTGTAAATTCACAAAACTTCTTGATAAATAAATAAAATAAAATATATTCTACAATAAATTATAACTAAATACACCTTTTCTATTTTGAACTATTTTTCAAATAAATAACCATTTGTTTGTTAGCTGTGTCGGTCGTTTTAGGGCTTTTTCTATTTAAGGAAATAGGTAAACAGTACATAATAAAACATCTCATTCATTTTCATTTCATACAGCATTAAAATAGTGAATCCTATACTCTGATTCTAAAATTCAGTTGAATAGCCCACAGTAATAAAATTGATAATAAATTAAAATCCGTACCAAATGTTTACTTCTACCTGCGCGCGACACACAAACACGAACGATAATGTTTTGTTTCTTTCTCTCTCTCTCTTTCCCTCCCTCTCTATCTCTATCTTACGTCATAATACAATCGGGGGATAAAGTGAATTTGTTTTAGGGCTCGATTATTCTCAGTATTTAAATACCTAAACAATAAAAAATTTTTTAGGGGTTAAGCTAATGAAGTTATTTCTTAGCACCCGTTTTTAATAATTATTAATTGTTAGCAGTTTGATAAAACTAGGGCTTTTGACTAGTGAAATATAAAAAAAACTTCAATTATTGAGAATATCCAGTTGAGATTTTGTACTTTTCTCAATTCAGAAAGCGGCTCTTTATCAACATTTATCAACATTGAATAAACGTGTTCACAGTTATGAGTTTTACTTTCAGACTATTTGATGTTGAAGTGCCACTTACAAAAATACAAAATATCATAGATTACGTTGCCACAGAGTGGTCGACAAAGATTATAAAACAGATGTGCCACACTTTTAAGATACCTAAGTGTAGTGCATATCATTTACTCTAAGGTAGCAATCTGGTTGAAACCATAATCGGGAATGATCATATTCCCGATTAAGGTTCATATTCCATTTTAAGTCTGATCTTTTTATTGTAAAAATATTAGAAAAGAAATAAATTGACATTAAACGTGTACACAATTGAAATGTGTACACGAATATTGATCAATGTTTCAATTTATTCCCCGACTGTATCTGCGCTGACGTCATATTAGGTTTACTTTCGTTACAGAAGATTGTAGGTACGAGTACCAGGTTATCATGATTTAAAGACACGAGGTGCAAAAATTCTGTTTCAAAGATGAAGCAGCTACAGATAGACAAAGTTACCTGGAAGAGACTTAGTGATATACGTCTCCTACTTTCATAATATTGTAATTATTTTCATAAAAATGAAACTACCTATTATGAAAAAGAATTGTTTGTGCAGTAACGAATATTCTACTTATCTAGAGGTCACGATATTTCTTCTTCCTCTGCTTCTGTATTTGTTTAGATTAGATGAAATTGATTTTATGAGTACATTATTGAGTGACGTGTCGTACCATTAATTATAAAGATTATTATTTTCGAGGGGCCGTTCTACAGTTCGTAAAGAAATATTGTACGAGCATTACAGGCGAAAGTATTTAATCCAGAGCAGTGAACATAGTGTACTGTTTATTGTTTGTTTCCGTGTCTGATGTGTGCGTAGCACGGTCATAGTAATATGGCAAGGTATAATGGAAAGGGAGCTCTAATCTGAATAAAACGAATTTTGGAAAAAGTTTTAAATAATGTTTTCGTGTAATATTTTGCATGTTCGAATATTTGCGTATGTCCACATAACTAGAAAAAATATTTCGCTGTACTGTGACGTAGGCACTAAATACCAGTAGATATAACCAGTCTGGCAAAGTAATAGTCTTTGATTTAGAATTCAATGAACTGAAACAGCTGATCATAATGTCGGTGTGCTTCGATAAATGGTATCGAAAATTTTGCTAAACTTCGATATTGTTTTTTTCAATAAATACAATGGCTACGATATTAAGGACAACGTCCATTATCTCAGTTTTATGTATACTCAATGCCATTTTCGGGGTAACGGGTTTTTTTGTAACACGCGGTATTACCAAAATTGGCACGATAAAAATAATTTGCAGAACTATTTAAAGTAATGTGTTACTTGATTTGTTTATGTAATTAAAATTCATAATAAGATAGTTTATGTATCGGGCACAGGAGCAAACAGTCCATTAATGATAACAAATTAACTTTAAATGACGTATCCGGTCGCAGATAAACTGTGACCCCTGTTCCCAGATGTAGTGGCATTGTGAGCGAGCAATCATAAGAACGACATGTTTCTCAAAATAATTATCGTCATCTTTTGCATCTGTAAATTCGGATTTGGCCAAGGTAAGTACATATTTTAAATGTTACTTTAGTAAGGTTTCATATTTATGATGGATTTTGTAAAATTAGTACCTATGATTAGGGGGTGTAAAAAGTTTTATGTGGTTGGTCGTGTTTAATTTACTCGAATGTGAATGGTTGTGTATTTATGATGTATATCAAATTGTTATAAATTCTTATTTATAATAAGGTGAGTTTTTCAACAGTGATGATCGCTTTAATAAATTTATAAATACTTTATAACCTATAAATCAGAACTAAATACTAATTACGTGTAATTTAATTATTGCAAATATAAAGTGCATCGTATGCATGAATCTACTATAGTGTTTCTTATAATGTTAATTAGTTATACACAAGTATATAATCAATGTTTATATTTTCATAAGGTTATAAGGGCATATTTTCGATTTCCATAATAATTAAAAAATATGCTATGGAATCGTGTTTTGTATTCGAAAATATGTATGATTTTAGAATATTTTACATAATGAAATAAATTAAATCTATACGAATAAAAAGGTAAAACAAACTTTGTTCATATAAACTGGTCGGTATAAAGTTGGTCGGGTCAGCTAGTTAGCAAATACAATTTTAGCTAGGTTACGTTAGGGAGCTAAAAATTTTCTGACTTAGATGTTTTAATCTATTCATCGTGCGTGACAAAAATAAAAAAAAAAAATTGCTATTGAGTTGTCCGAAAGAGTTGTGATATTTTTTTTTGTGAAAATATAACACTTCTAATATTTCGATATCATACCACTCAGGTGATATTTGACGTCTTGATTTAAATTAAAGGTTTTTCCGACTAAAAAAATTGCATAATAATTTTCGATTTGTCTTTGGACTTTACATCGTTTTCATAGATACTCGTATCACAAAATTTTCGCCTCGATTGAACTGCATTTAAGCCGTTAATGAAAACAGAATAAGCATTATTAATAGCTTTCCATTTTCTATCATCGATTCGATCTAACAAAAACTATTGCAAATAATCAATCTTTAACAATCAATTGTTACTATATAAATATTCTAATATTAAAAGACGACGATATGTTATTCGAAAGTAGACTTTGTAAATATAATATATTTTGTTGCTATGATTTATATTACACCCGATGTAAGATCTCAATTAAAATTTTCAGATGTCCAAGAAAATTTTGATAATAGCGATGAGAGTCTCATCAACGGGGAAAAGAAACTTAGCGACAATATTCTCGAGATCCTGGAGCACTTCAAACAGCCGAACCCAATCGGCATCCCCGGAGCCAGCATACCTGAACCATACCCCGTACCTGACATGAAACAGACACTCACGTTCGGAACAACACTGTACTTTAAAAACACAGCCGTCTATGGCATTAACAAGTTCCGGATACTGTACGTCAATGCTGAAATTGGTGCTCTCGAGGTAATCAATCAGCTACATAATTTTTTTATAATATAACAAAGCTATCTTCAAAGCTAAATACCATTCTGTTAATTATTGTAGAACCTAATTATTGCGATTAGTATTTATTTTGATTTGTTTTAAAATCCATTATTTTAACCAGGTTCAAGCTGTCATGGCCATTGAAAAAATACAGGCACGTGGAAACTACACCATGTCTACTTGGTTAAATAGAGCTCAAGGACCTTTCACGGTTGACGTCACCGGACTCCTAGTAAAAGCCCGAGCCAACTTAGGCGTTGAAAGAGATGGCAAAATTAGGGCGCAAAATATAAAAGTTGACCTATCATTTAACACTATTGCAGTTAACTTTGAAAATCTTGGATTTTTCGGAAGTATGTTCCAAGGTGTGATTAATTCCGTCGGCACATTCGTTTTTGACACTATTAAGCCTTATATTCTCAAAGAAGCTTACGTTAAAGCTCGAACAGTCATAAATACGAAACTAGATGAAGTGGCAGGCGATATGCAATTTCCAAACTCCATATCACCATTAGATATGGTAATAGCGGATACGAGAAAAATGATACGAGAAATGAAGTTTGATCCTTATAAAGTCGACGACTACAATAAGACAATGGGCATATTTTTAATAAAACTGTCGCATACTTGGGTGACTGGTTTATCATCATTCCAAAGAGTGGGCAATATAACTCTCAAACTGGAAAATAACACGATGATCGCTGACTTCAGCATCGGTACACAGAAACTGGAGGGTATGACGCAGTGGGAAATCACTGCTGTAAATGGACTTATGTCGAGAGCTGGTACTGCTTCCTTCTCAGTAGAATATGTGAGTGGGAGGTTGATTCTCGCTCAACCTCTTGACACTCGAAAAAAACCTGAATTTAGAGATTTAGATCTCGAAGTGGGCAACATACAGGTACGCTGTGATGGCGCTGGAACATTGGACTACGTCATCGAATTACTTGTTAACATCTTACCGAATCTTTTAAGATACCAAATAATGGACGCGTTGGAAAATCCCATTAAAGAAAAGATACAACAAGAATTAGATAAAATTAATGTAGAAGAACGAATCAAACAGGAGTTACCCAGGTTGGATGAGATGCAAGAACGTGGTTTCAAACTATCTAGCTTGAAGGTATCTGAAGCACAAGAGGCACCTTATGACGAGGATGAGTTCTTTAACTTTTGATTATCCGAGGAGCACAGTATTATATTAATATTGTGCTAGGCAATAGAGTAGGAATGCACCGGTACGTAAACGAAGTTGTCTCAAGACCAATTTTTCGTTTGAATTCGAAATTACGTAAAACAATACTTATTTGTGAGTTGTATGATTCTAACTCTTCAGAAATGTATAGAACCATTTCGAAAACAATTGTATAATATATGACAAAAACTAGGCTTCACCAAAATTTCGCCATAGCAAACGATCTTATGCGTTATTTTATTATACAGATATGTTATTTGTAAAGTGAACAAAGTTTGCTGTATAAATTTACAATTAATAGATATTATTTTTTAATATTATATATAACTTTATTCTATAAAAAGATAAGAAGAATACCAAGGTTTTTTTTTAGTAAAATAGTAAAGGTGTGTACTTCTAATGCTAATGCTATTTCTTTTACATCTATTTTCTGAAAGCTGAATAGAGGAAGCTCTCTTGTTTTATATGACACTAGGTGTTATCCCGCGACTTTGGACGCCTAAATATAGCCAAAGTTGACCCCGTATGATGTAGCTATCCGTAGGTGATTTTTTTTAAACTTAGTCCAGTAGTTCAAAGTTTATTCGATGCAAACAAATAAACAATAAAATCTTCTCTCTATATCATATTTGTATCTAGAATGTTTTACGGAACAAGTTTAATAGCAACTTCAGCCATTGAACTTGGTCCGTAAAACAGTAAGCGGTAATCATAAAATATATGAAAAATGTTAAACTTATGTCATAGTATCAATTTTGGAAATAATTATCTTAGTATGTTTTGATTCAAAATATTTATTTAACAATTAGGATTCCTGTTAATGTATTATGCAGACGACAAGGGTCGTTTATGTCATTGTTTAGTTTAAATATATTATTTTGAAATGATTTGTACACATTTTTAATGCATTTTTATTTATATATGTTAGCGTTGATATTCTTGAATCGCTCTTATCTTGAAGAGTAAGCAAGCTCAATGAAATTCTGAATTCATTTTGAATAAGTCATTGCCACAAGTTCACAATTATTTAGTTCTTAATCAGTGATGGTTTTGATAAACATGTCGTTCATATGATTGCTTGTTCATAATTATTTCTTTTTTATACTATTATTTGTTCCGTTGATGTATGTTACTAAATATACTCTTTATGTCACTACAATAAATAATGTTTATTTATTTATTTAAGGTTAACCAACGTTTGTGTTCAATATTACATACATTCTAGTTACAATAAATTTTATGTTAAATGACTAACTGTCACAATCACTTATAGGTAAACACAACATGCACTAGAACATAGAATAAGTAAGAAACTACACTTTTACACTAGACTATGAGAAAAGAAGTTACATTATTATTTATACCAATTAATTATTTGAAAAAGAAAAACAAGATCAGACTATTATATGTATGTAAAAAAAAATTAACTCCACAGTTCTAAAAAAGTCCTACGGATCTTTGAAAGTGAGTCGTGATAAATATCTATTGGGTTACTATATTTATTTACCAATTTACATATCCTACGTATTGGTGAATTAGAACCGAGAACAGTTCTACGCAGTGGAACGTTTATGTTTCAGGTTCTTGAAATAACTTCATTCTTATTTCAACTCTTTCTTCTTCCATTGATTTAATATTGTGTCAGTTGGCGATAATCAATTAACTATTACACAAGAAATTAGACAACATTGCTCCGATCCCAAATTGTTATGGAAATCTGAAACAATAAAAGTAACACGACACCCAGACCCTAGAAAATGTAGAAAAGTTCATGACTATGTTGATTCAACCGGAAACCGAACCCTCAGATAAGGAGACACCTTGAAACCAACGCGTGGACCGTATTACTAACTTTTTTTTTTTTTTTACAAATAATTATAGAAACTAAATCATATTTATAATGGAATTGGTTTGTCATAATATAATAGGAATTAAAAATAAAATTTTCTTGATAGTAAAAAATCACAAAGTTACCCCATAAATAAAAAAAAAATCGATTTCTTCTTTTAATTAAAATGAATCTTTAATCAAAATGACCAAACATGATTATTGATCACACAATAATAATTCCAAACGGCTATCGAGTAAGTAAGTAGAAAATGAGAAATTTCAGCGCCATCTAGTCAGATTGCATTGGAAAAGTTTGTAGGCCCGTATAGCCACACGCAAGCTTTAAATTTAACTAGTGTGGATTCATCGACGGTAATGATGTGTTTGTTTGACAATATCATAGATGGCGTTCGTTACTTGGTCAGTGTTAATTCATTAATTAGAAGATCGCCTACAATGAATCAAATACCTATTGCTAGCCTTCAATTACTACCAAAACATATCTTGTGTGATTGCAATACTATATAATAGCAAGCGCCTGGGGGCCAATTCTACTAAATAAATTTTGTTTAAATCGAAACGAAAACGGAACGAAACCGAACCAAACTACAACTTTTAGTGGTTTTCCTATTCTACTCGGTGCCAAAATGGCGTCAAACGATACAGTTCCAGTTCTATTTTAGTTTAGCTAACTATCGATCAACAGAAACTGTAAACGGTATTCTACTCGCTCAATCGAACTTAGATGTAGTTATGCAAACCGGAACCAACCCACAAATCAAATCTGTCAAAATCGAGTGATGTGCAGAGAAGCCTAAAAGTATTGCAATTAAACTCACATGTTGTAAATTCACAAAACTTCTTGATAAATAAATAAAATAAAATATATTCTACAATAAATTATAACTAAATACACCTTTTCTATTTTGAACTATTTTTCAAATAAATAACCATTTGTTTGTTAGCTGTGTCGGTCGTTTTAGGGCTTTTTCTATTTAAGGAAATAGGTAAACAGTACATAATAAAACATCTCATTCATTTTCATTTCATACAGCATTAAAATAGTGAATCCTATACTCTGATTCTAAAATTCAGTTGAATAGCCCACAGTAATAAAATTGATAATAAATTAAAATCCGTACCAAATGTTTACTTCTACCTGCGCGCGACACACAAACACGAACGATAATGTTTTGTTTCTTTCTCTCTCTCTCTTTCCCTCCCTCTCTATCTCTATCTTACGTCATAATACAATCGGGGGAACTACACTGAATTTTCAGGTCCGACGGTCCGATTTTTTCCGGTCCGGAATGACATGAAAAACCCGGATGAGTAGCTTGTGCACTTGTCCGTTTTTTTCCTGATCGGAGCGGCGCAGTGTAGGGCAGCTCTCTTTGAAGCTACACGTCACTAACGCTAGGTACGATGAGATTTTTGGAACGTCGGTAATTCCGTTCGAAGACGTAGAAAAGTACCTAAATAATGATCTGATCGTTTTACATACCATAATAAATTATGGCAAGACGAAAGCATTTTTTTACTACTATCGGATGACTCAGATGTAAAAACTAATACCCTTACTAATTTAGGAACAGCATTAATCATATACAATAGCTAAAAATATCTGTGACATTAGAATAAAATGACTGATAATGATAATGGTCTAGTACTTGATGTTTAAACTTTTAAACGTGCTATTTTTTTTCGAAGTTTTGTAAAAACAATTTTCAGCGATTACAGAGATAGACCAATCGGTGGCGCCATTTCGTAAATAAATCGAAATTAGTGCCGTGTAAGCGGAGAATTATTATGCTAAATGAACTTGACGAAATCAGTTGACAGTATTATATATAGGCATAATTTTATACGCGTGGTGTAGTTTCTTTGAGCAGAAATATTATTCCCTTAGAATACTTCGTTTTTTTAAATTTATTAATGACACAAATATACATTTAAAATTTTATTAAATGCGAAATAGACATTGAGTGTCACTTAATTAATTTTGTTAATCTTCTGTTTATTCTTTATTATTACTTCTGTTGTCAAATATTTATCTATACTTATCAATTATCTAAAAAAATTGATAATGACAAATTTCCAGGCAAACTTTCATCCCCTATTTTTCGCGATAAAATGTAGCCTATGATCTTTCTTAAAGTTAAGTCTATTTACTATATTAATTTCCATTTGGATGGGTTCAGTTGTTTAGGCGTCTATGCGTAACTACACTTATTTATCTTACCTTAAGCTATCGATACTTTTAATACGATTCTAAAATCTAGCTAAGTATCGATACTAGAACCATACGCTGATCAAATTAGAACTATACCGAGTTTGCCAAAGCATATGCAGTGATATTTACCAACTATATTAAATCATATTTACCAACTATATTAAATCATAAAACATAGTATTTTATAATCAACTATAAATATCGATTATAAGTTTATTGGAAATTAACAATATTGCCGAAATAAATATCGATTCAAATCGATTATTTTTTCCCAAGCCTATTCCTTATGAATTTTCCGGATCTCGGACACAGCAGTGCACAAGCGTAAGCACGTTTTTCATTGCCGCCATCACGGACCTGAAAAAACCGGTCCGTAATAGAAAAAAGTAAAATTCCGGACGGTAAAATTCCTGACAGTGCACAAGCGCGCATCACCTACACATGGCCTGACATATCGGACCTGAAAAAATCGGACCGCCGGACATGAAAATTCAGTGTAGTGCACAAGCGCCCTTACTCTTACTGCATGTAAATTGTGTCAAGTAAAGTGGATTGCTACCTTAGAGTAAATGATATGCACTACACTTAGGTATCTTAAAAGTGTGGCACATCTGTTTTATAATCTTTGTCGACCACTCTGTGGCAACGTAATCTATGATATTTTGTATTTTGTAAGTGGCACTTCAACATCAAATAGTCTGAAAGTAAACTCATAACTGTGAACACGTTTATTCAATGTTGATAAATGTTGATAAAGAGCCGCTTTCTGAATTGAGAAAAGTACAAAATCTCAACTGGATATTCTCAATAATTGAAGTTTTTTTTATATTTCACTAGTCAAAAGCCCTAGTTTTATCAAACTGCTAACAATTAATAATTATAAAAACGGGTGCTAAGAAATAACTTCATTAGCTTAACC